TCAAAAGTGAATAATTCCTGTCACAATTTCTATTCAAGGTTACAAAAATTTTGCTGCAAGTTTCACTACAATATTTTCTCCTTGCGACTATGTGTCTTGCGAATGTCACGTTCCTGTGCTCATCTTCGCGGATGCGTTCGCTTTTTACCTCGGAAACGACCAAACAACCCGAGTAGTCGCCGCGGAGGGTATTACGATTGTACGCACATGTGGTAAGAAATTATATTACATATATATATATATATATATATATATATATATATATATATATATTCGTCGGCTGCACAGCGAACAAACCTGCTCGTCAGATGAATTCCGCCACGGTTAGCGGCGGGGTGGTCCCGCGATCTCTCAGGGTCACGCAGCCGATACCGCATGGAGTACTTAGGCTGTACACGCCGTGCGCTTGTCGCACGGCCACCAGAAGGGAACCTCGCAGAAGGGTGGAGCGAGAAAAAGACGGTGGCGGCGACGAAGGGGGCGAACGCGCCTCGGAGAGGAACGGCGAAGATGGAGGTCGAAAGAAGTCTCCATCAATAACGCACGTCCGCGCCTTGAGACGTGGAAGACCGCAAGATTAATCACCCTTCTTCTCTCGCTTTCTTGCCTACGTTTATATCCGTACGCACGACAATCGGGAGGAGCTCTCTCCGGAGAGCGCCTCTCTCTCCTTCCTCCTCTCCGCGCCACTCTTCAAACGAACGTAGCCGCGAGACTTATCGTCCCTTTGTTGCTTCTCTCTTTCTCTTACACACACACGTACACGCATACACACACACACACGCACACACTTTCTCTCTCTTTATCTCTCTCTTTCTCTTCTTTACGTTATGATACCCATCTTCGTACATCCTCTCGCTTCGTCTCCAGCTTCACATTTTTACGCTCCTTTACTCGACCGTGTAATGGCTTCGGCTAAGGCGACACTGTGTTTTCGGGACAAGAGAGTCATCTGAATCGCGCGGACGTGTCCTCCTTTTTGCGGCGCGCGTAGAGGATCGAATCCTGCACGCAGGTTCATTAATAGTTAGCGACGTGAATCTCAATCACTAGCTTTAACGGCGTTTCTTCTTCTCGCGCAACTATACGCGTCGCGAAATACCGCAAGAAAACGATCCACGGTCCGATAGATGTTACGAATAAGAAAACAATCGACGCGACGATACATTAGCAGCAAAATACTTGGCGCGAAATGTTACCTATCGCCTTCTCTCGCAGAAGTCGCGGAAGTGCGAATGATGTGCCGCTTTTGCAAGCGTCGGATTTTCAAAGCGCCTTTGAACTCGCGACGCAAAGTACGATGAATTTGAGTACTCTCTTTGAAATGTATAAAGCACACCCATCGTCTGATTCGTCTAACATTTCGCGCGCGCAAGAGACGGGTCAGACTCGACCGCACGTCTCGCTTTTTAATGCGGCATTCTACAAATATCAAAGAGAAAAGCAAATTTATCGATGCACTGACTACTAATAGAGGTAATGTAAGGCATGATAATTTTTCCTCACAACATAAATCACACAAATCGGACGTACTCTCTTTCTCACGACGCGAATCGAATCGCGCGTAAGTTTTTTGATAGTTTGCGTCGCAAATTTCACTCACCGGCTTTAACGGTGTTCCTCTTCCTCATGGTGCACCGCGAAATACCCGTCTCACAGCGGCAAGGACACGATCCATGATTCGATAGAGACCACGAATTAACGCACAATGTATCAGAAACACATTTAGCGCGTAATAATATCGCGTAGTAATTCTCATGCGATCCGCCAGCGGCGTGGCAGTGGCGGCGACAAGCTCGCGCGCGAATTCTTCTCTCGTGGAAATTGCCCTTGCTTATGACCACCGTATTGCTGACGTCACTTCCGATCGTCTCGTCGAGAAACGAGAACGTAGTGCCGCTTTGCCGCACAATTTTCCAAGCCGCGGACGCTCAAACGACATCCCCGGCTCGCGGCATAAGGTACGACGGTTTGAGTAATTTTTTCGATGTTTACACCGCGTGATTTCGCCCGATACATGAGAAGAGACAATCACGTATTCTTTCTGGAGACGCGCGTGTCGTTCATTGATTGTTTACGATGCGAATCTCAGCCGTCGGTTTGAACGGCGATTATTCCGCTCCTCGCGCCGGTACGCATCGTGAAACAATCGTAAAACGATCCACGATTCGATAGATGTTTCGCCTTAACGTGACGATGCATTGGAGAAATACTTGGCGCGTAATGTTACCGCGCAATAATTCTCGCGCGATCCGTTAGCGGCGCGGCGGCTGCAAGCTCGCGCGAATCGCCTTCTCTCGCGGAAGTCGTCCTTGCTCGCGACCGCCATGTTGTCCACCGTCACTTCCGATCGTCTCGTCGAGAATCGAAGACGCAGTACCGCTTTGCCGAGCATTTTCCCAAACGGTGGATGATCAAATGGCATCCTCGGCTCGCGACATAAGGTACGACGATTCGAATATCCTCCTCAAGATTTGTAGCGCGCGTTTGCCGCGCGCGCGATCGTCGCCCGATACATTCGCCTAAACATTTCGCGCGCGCGTCAGCGGCGGGTCAGGCTAGGTTAGATTGTACGTAAATACGCCCTTCTTTTCCACTACGGTATTCTCGGCGGTACAAGCGCCGTGGAGAAAAGTAAATTTATCGGCGCACCGGGTACTGATAGAGACGCTCATGAATAGATCCGCGCTTTTCGGGGGTTGGTTATATAGAAGAACGACGTGGGATATCCGGGTGAAGGTGGAGGTTGATGCTACTCGTAGCGCGGGAGGAAGAGGGGGAGGGGCGAACGGTCGAAGGAGACTAGGTCTGCGGTGGTCGACGAGCTCTAGAGAGACGCGCGGGAGACGCGAAGCGAGAGAAAGAGAGAGAGAGAAAGAGAGAGAGAGAGAGTGAGCGAGGAGGACCGGTGTGCGCGGTGCGGTGGAAGGATGGTTTGGCACGGCCATGAATATTTCGCCAGCGCACTTATTTATGCAATACTTTGCGCTGGCAGCTTTACGGCGGCTCCCTCTCTCAACCGCCGCCATGCCGCTATGCCGGCCCCGGGCGCGCTACCCCGTGTGCGCCCAGATAAATACGCCGGCGGTCCGTATACGTCCGATAATATATTACGTTTGAGCGTTTTCGAGCTGTTTAGAGGGAATCTACGGTGCCGAACGACGGTGCCAGCGGCAAGAGAGGAGACAGGAGGCGGAAGCATTTAGCTCGGAGCAGGCAGCCACCTCCGCCGCCCTCTCCCTCCTCCTCATCCTCCTCCTCATCCTCCTCCTCCTCCTCCTCCTCCTCCTCTTGCACCACCGGCCGCGTCATCCTCGTTCTCGCCTCTGCACACCCCCCCGACTCCTCGCCACCACCTATATTCCTACGCTACACCTATCGGGACCACCACCACCCACCACCCCCTGGTGCAATAGTTTCCGAATAAATCCCCGATTCTCGAACGCGCCGCGCTGCTTTCCTGCTCGGATTTACCCGCCCCTCTATCTACCTACAAGCCTGCACCCGCGCGGAATGCCCAGGCATAGGGGTAGATCGAGTTCTCGGTCTCCCTCTTGGTCGGTCTCTCTTTTTCCCTCCCTTTCTCTCTCTCTCTCTCTCTCTCTTTATCTGCCATTTACATTATATCTCCCTTTCTCTCTTTCCCTGCGATACCAGCGCGATCGACTGTCCTTCTCTCGTTTTCCTCTTGGTCTCGCTCTTTCTCTCTCTCTATCTGTCGCGTCGCGATAGAGGAGGAACGAAGGGGAGGTTACACGAGGCAGTCGATGGAGAAGGCCCATAGGAGGAGGGTGGAGGAGGAGGAGGGTTACCTCGGCGGCCATTACTCCAGCTACAAACAACCCCTCCGCGAAGCGAGGAGGGCCTTTTGTTGCGGCAATTGGCTAAACGGTCCGCCGAAACAAACGATCCCGCTCGAGATATAGTACCTAAGATCTCTCCCGATTTCCTATGCGTGCTACGAACGGAATGCCGCGCCGCGGGTGCATGTCCAAGCGGGAAGTACGATCGCGACAAATCTCCCAGGAATCAGACGTATCGCGCTTACACTACACAACAGCCGAGCGGGTTACGCGCGGCGTCGGTGCGTCGCGATATGAAATTGAAATGAAACGCGCGATACCGTAGACGCGCGATATCGAGACCCTCGATGGAAATCGCCGTGTCGCGGCTGCTATTTCGTTGCTTGTATTCTCCGACAACCTTATAGGATTCGCAAAAGCGATATCGCGAGGTAACTGTGTAGTCCCAACGACTCGCTGGACCCAGAGAGGGGTAATCGGCGCGAGGGAAAATTCACAGACTTGTTATACTTTCCCTCGTTACCGTTCCCGATCGGGACATATCCGTCGAAGTAATCGGTCGTTTAATTGGTGATTTTTTAACATAGATATTCGCATCTCGATTATTTCGCTCGTTAATTTTTATTTGCAATTTCAATTATCGATTTTTTGTGCCGATGTCATATTTACAATTAATTAATTAATTAGACGAAAAATTAGATATTAATCAATTGTATAAACTTGTATATTTTAACGTAATATATAATTAAATAAATTATGTAGTATATGTGTTATACGTTGACTCAGTACTTTTAACACGTTAAACGTCATGCCGGTCCTTACAGACCGGCCTTATGTCCAATTTTTTCATTTTCGGTTAACTTTATCTATCGGTTAAATGTCAATCGTAATATTGATTAATTTTTGCCGACCATAAATATAATTAGTTAATTCCAATAAAATAACTGGTAGATAAAGTTAACCGGAGGTGAAGAAATTGAGTATTAGACTTTCTGTTTACGCCGCGTCGCGTCGGTCCCAACGGACCGGCCGTAGCCTTTGTACAACCGCTTCTCATTTTTTGTTTATAGCTCGCACGTTACACGCGGCTCTGTTTACTTGACGGTAGAGTGCGGCGTGAACGGAACATCAAACAAAGTAGGCTTGGCGTTTAACGTGTTAAGGCATGCTCGCAGTCATAACGACCTTAGGCGGCGAAGCGAGTATAACGCGTGACGTCGTGCTCTGCTGTCAATTTTTCTCGAATAATTAAAACGTGCGCGAGTTTACGACTTTTCACGTATGTACGTTCGTAACTGTCCTACTGGTGACATCCAAAAACTTAAACGGTGAATATTGCATTTTTCATAATTCTAAAAGAGAAATATACAGTTTTGAATATCTTCATGCTAAACATTTCTCCTCTATTCCTCTTATAGAAAAGTATCACTGGCTGTGATAAATTGGCCAGTAATAAATAATAATTTTATTACTCGTACGAGTAATAAAATTATTGAACGACAGTAATTATCGCTGGCCAAATTATCACTTATCAGTATTAAATTTCTATAAGGGTCGACTCTTTGAGATCGAGCAGTTTCTTTATATGAAGCATGCTTTCAAGATCGAGCAGCCACTCTGACGGTTTTACTAATTAGAAAAACTTTTAGATTCGGCAGACTATTGGCCGATTGCAGAACAGAGGATGTGATTTCGGCGGAAGCAGCTCGGAGAATCTGAATCGAGCAGAATCTCTTGGACGGTAAATCGATATAAACAGTCTCTCGTCCTTCGTGATATTTTCGTCGTAATAATCTACACGGTCGATTTTCAATTCGCGACTTTTCACGTGCACGTTTGCGTCACAATTGCTTTGCTCATTGATTTTAATTCGCGGTTTCAATTTACCGATGTTCCATGTAGAATGCGCAACGTGGTCGTGTCAAAAATTTGTGTAAAACTAAAGATTATAATGTTACATACATGAGATGAGTGAATAATTAAATTATGTTTTATTGCGCTCGCACACGACGCGCCGCGCTGAAGGTTGACCGATCTTCCGCGTAATATCACAAAACATGTCGGCACGTGAGGCATTCACGACCGTAACCATTTTTAACGCCGCTGAGTGAACACGTTGTGCAGCATTGCCCGTTATTTCCAGTCTCGTTAAATTAATCTGATCTGATGTAACAGTAAGAGACATGAATGTGCGATACTCGCGTCGGGATTATCGTCAGCCGTGAAATTTCAAGAACTACCACCGCGCTCCATTCGTATTAAATTTCAAAAAGGAATACTGTTGGCAACTCGATACTGTCGATTCATCTCGACCGAGTAGTCTCTCCGACATCGCGACTAATTAGAGAAATTATATTTTGTTCCAGATCTGACAGAGTTTGCGACCACGCGACAGATGATGCAGCTGCCGTACCGGAGGATTCGGTTCGGGCCGTGTAACGTCGATTCGAAGGTACTTTTCCGCAGATTCTCCCATCGAATCCTTTGTGATCAAAAGTTCAAATGATCGTTACAGTTGTTTGAGTTATGATCGCAGAAGGACTAACCAGCTCGTTCCGATCGAATTCGTAAATTTAATAAGCAAAATTTTATTTTTTGTTGTAGATCTGGATAGCGGAATAGCCGACCCCGACTTCGACAACGATTAGGTTGATCAGTAGAATGGAACTTTTCAAGGTGACAGGTTTTCGGTGATGAGTTTCATTAGAATCAATATTTTTTCGTTAGAATCAATGCGATTTACTTTGTTGGTAGTTTTCGTTGATAGTTTTGAAATGAGTCGTTGAGCGAACTGCAGCGGTGTAAATTCGCTTTTTCTCGTTTTAAAGGACGAAAGAGTTTTCAAGTATTTGATGTTATGTATAATTCATTCATGAGAGCGGACTTTCACATAGGTTGCACTATTATACAAGAATCCGTATCTTTTGCTGTATTAATAAAGTATCATGCTTCGCAAAATATGATTTACAACGCTACTACGTTCGACGATTCAACTTTTCCCAGGCAGATGTGCCCGAACACCGTCGAGTAAAACTCGACGTAGAAGTCTCGCAAAATGTATGGCGAGGCAGTCAGGCGTTAAAATTACGTCTCACGCGGTAATTTCGCTCGTGTTGATACACGATCTTCATCCATAGAGATCTAAATATGATAGTGTTCGTGATTTATTTTCACTTGTGTACGCATCGGTGAATTTATTTTTCGCGTATTTTGCGCGCGAGAGTTTCAGCTGCGGTTACTCGCAGATTTCGCGGTCGATCGTCAAAATTCTTGAATTTTCACTTGCACATTCTCAATGCATCACAGCTACTTGGCTCGCGGATTTAATAAAGTCACGATTTTCATTATTGATTTTTTTACATGTGACTCTCCAAGCGCGAGGTCTTTTTACGCGGTGAGTGCCGGAATTTATCATACCGCGGCAGACGTTCGTTAATTTCGCGAATTCCAATTTCGTCTTTCGCGGCGGACGAATAATTTATTCGAGATACCTTCACACAGAATACACCGTCGCATAAGTAGATCGATCGTACGTCGCATAAATGAAGTATTATCGGCCTTAAAATACGACATATATCGCCGATCCGCTCGACGGTTCATTTGGCCGAGCATCGTCGAATAAAATTCGACATTAGAGCTTCGCGAAGTGCACGGCGAAGCAACCAGGCGTTTTCTAGAATTACGCCACACACAGTGATTTTGCGTCTAATAAATGACGCAATCGCCGCGACCTTTAATCCTTTTACTACCTATGAAGAGCTATAAATTCCACGATCGTTGCGAATATGATTTCGGCTCGCGTACGTGTCGGCGAATTAGAATCCCCCACGAATTGTTCTTCGCATATGGTGCGCGTGAGAACTCCACGCCACACGCGGTCACCTCGTTCGCCTATCGCGCGCGCTGGTAGATTCCACGGTTGATTTTTAATTCTCGATTTTTTACCTACACACTTGCAGCGCGTTGCGATTATGTTGCTCGCGCTCGGACGCCCGTTGAATCGGCGAATTCCGATTGTCTCTTTCGCGTCGCGATTTCAGCGGAACACAGTGTGCAATTAACGTGGGACGACGCAAAGGATTACGACGTCGCGATGTACGTTCGTTAAATTTACGAATTTTCGTTCCGTCTTTCCACGACTTCATAAGTAACGAACTATCCGTAACGCATCGTTGAAGTGCCGCGTCGCGAGTGCAGTGCAATCAACGTGAGACGACGACCTGGACGCAGAGAGAGGGTCTCGAGGATTTCACTGGACATCGTGGGACATGGTCGAGAATTGGTGAGTGGGCAATGCCACACTCATCGTATTACATTTCTTATTGTGCATGAGTAGACGTAAATCGCATTGATTTATAACGAAGGGGATAAAGGCAACAGAATACAGCAATTCAAGAATGCATGCGTTCGGATAATTTGCTTAATATATTTCTGAGCAAATATATAAATTAAGTTTGCTAAATTATTTGAATCGGTATTATCTGAAGTAGGAGAGACCGGGGCTAGTTGGATGCCAGGGTAAGTTGACAAAACCGATTATTTCTAGTATTTTGCAATAAATTACAGAATAAGCAAGCAAAATTTTTAAACATATCAAAGATGAAATCCCTAATTGGTTTCTTGATTTTGAAATCGGTTAAAGAACAGTAAAAATAATCGATTTTGCCAACTAATCCCGGTAGCTAAATAGCCTCGGTCTCATTCTTGATTGCTATGCAACTCCAGTCAAATTATCCGATTTATACAATCTCGAACAGCGCAGTATGACTGCCTTTACTTCTAATAATTAGAGTAATTAGAGTTTCCTAATTTTTAAAGAATAATTATATCCGGATAAACCGGATCTCGATTTCTTTCACATTGTTTTTCTCAAACTCTCTGTTGTTGTATATTGTGAGATCAAATATCTAAAAAATAAAAATATTTACTGGATCGGTACTATATAATGGCATAGTTATTGTTTATATTAATATAAAATATCTATATTTATAAAATATCTATATATATATTAGTATATATAATATATATACTAATATATTTACTGTTTTCTACTAATATCTTTCAAAGAAAAACTTTTTTAAAATTTTAATTCCTCATAAAAGCAAATGTTCATACTATTTAAATAAACGAATTTAGATATAGTAAATATACCATTAGTACCCACCGAATAAATATTTTTTACTTTTTAGATATCTTTTTTTTTCAGTGAATTATATATAGATACTTGACACGAGACGCTACCGCGTTTGTTGATATTTTTATCATTATATTTATCTATGCCATCGCATTGACATTTATCGTTAGGTTTGTTTGTGCTATCGCGCATATATTTATCGTTATATTGACCCATGCAATCGCGCATATTAATGCTTTGCTAAGTAGCACTTTTTCCCTTATTTGTTGGCTTCATTTCGCCGACTAGCGATTTTTCCCTCATTGCCGGTTGTCCCCAATTTGCAACGAAATATTCGATGCACGATTCTGCGTTCCCTCTCATACACGTAAATATCCTACAACGTACAATTAATATATCGCAGAACGTATCAGATAACGTATAATAATACGTGTTGGCGCACGCTTGGTGCCCTGATAGGCACCGTATCTCACGTAATTTTCTGACGCAACGGAACGTAGCTTCCGTGACGACGCTTATTAGCAGCTGACCGACATTCGCTTGAGGGCGGGGGTTAAAAAGGAGAAGGAAAAAGCACAAAGTAAGAAAGAAACAGGCTTCTCCCCCCTCACGTGCCGATCTAATACCTTCCTCCTCGACACGATTCCTTCGACTAATTAAGCTGCGAAACGCGATCCCGTCGCCGAGACGTAACATACATCACATTACATCGCCGTTTGCGGTATATACACCATTTGCCGCTTTGAACGCGACGTGCATCGCGAAAACGCGGGGGTGGAGAAAGAGAGAGAGAGAGAGAGGGGAAGAAAGAAAGAGAGAGAGAGAGAGACGAGGTGCGTGCGTATGCGTACATATGTGTATTTGTGTGTGTGTGTGTGTGTGCCGCGCGCCGTTGTGATTGACAGGAGGCAATATGGCTGTGCGAAGGCTCCCTTTTGCTCTTTGTCGGCCACGTTACGCAAGCTGTTGCACCCGCATCTGCGCATTCATGCAAAGTCAAACCGTTCGCCCGTCCACTCTCGTCCATCCGTCCGCACGTCCGTACGTCTCTCGTCTCCGATAATCGCTCTCGCACGGTGCACCGGGCTGCTGCATTTTTTCGTTCGCTGGCAACGCGGCGGCAGAGCGGGAGTATCGATTCCCCGGGGTACAAGCCGGCTTCAAAGGTATATCGGCCCCGGAATACTTCTGAGCCGGCTTGATATTGAAATACTACCGAACACTATCGAAACACCATCGACTGCTATGGAAATAACGATAAACGGAAAGGGACAGATCGCGCGCACGCGCGCGCGAGCGAGCGAGCGAGCGAGCGAGGGCAGCGCAATGGAAAAAAAAAAAAGAAAAATTGCGCTGCCCCGTTTTCACGCGAGTGGTGGCGCAAGTAAAATAGACGAGCGCGCGCTCGCGTGACGGAGATGCAAAGCGTTTCTATTTTTACGAAGTGCGAAAGTTTACACACTCGCGCAAACGCGATACGCTAGAGACGCGCGCTATAACGCCGACGCCAATCGCGGACGAATCTCCCTCGATCCCGCCGGACATTTTCGCAAGGAAAAATATCGCGGCGTCGTGGACGCGTCGACAGTATTTCCGAGTAGCGCGCCGAGCATCGCAATTTTAGCCCTACTCTCGGTCTGAACTTTCTGACGTGTGTATATCTTGAAGGAGCGACGTGTGTGTTTGATGATGCACGTGGAAACTAAAGTCCTACTTAGCCCCTCTAAATGGCAGGAAGCGCATAAGATGTTACTTGTGGGTTCTGAAGAGAACTTCTTAGGAAAGCTATTAGACTAGAGAGGATCAAAAGAAGTTGATATAGATTTCACAGTATCAAAGTAGATGACGAATGGAATATTGAGGTAGGATCAAAATTTCGACTCGGATATTCCTGCGCGATGAATGCAGGAGAAGCTAGGAATATTCCGATCGGCGCTGGATAATCACTCGGTTGCTCCCATTCGTTTCACTTTGCATTCTTGCCGTTCTTTGCCTTTCGATCGCGAGGTATCCGCGGAGGAACCGGAGGTATCCGATGTGGAGGAACAACGGGCGGTGCTTCGCACTTTGAAATTACACAATGATAGATCATTTTGCTACACACACACACACACACACACACACATATATATATATATATATATATATATATATATATATATATTTATTTTGCCGGTAGCCGGGATAAAAGTTTACCTTTCGACACGCGGCGCGATCGAATATACCGCCAGAATATCTTCCGGTGATGAAATCACGCCGGCCGGACACGCACGGTAGCCGTTATTCTTGGCAGCATCGTGAGCGGATCTCGCAGATGTGCGATTTGCCGGCGGGACTGATTCACGCTCCTCTCTTCGTCGCGCCCATGCAGATGCGGATGTCTCCATTTTCCGAGTCGCGAGCGAATCTGCGCGTATGCGTGCGCGAGAGAAGAAAGAGAGAGAGAACGGAAGAAGGAGAGAAATCGCAGGTCGCGTACGAGTTGACGAGGATAAGAAAGGTTGTTGAGGTTGGATCCACTGACGAGGAGAGACGGACTTTA